AGAGAGTCTCAACTAAGAGCAGGCTTTTAAAATATCAAGGAAATTAAATAGTGAGCCCACAAAAACAAATATTTTGTAAAATTTTCCTGGAAAAAATAGCAGCATTCCAAAGAAATTCAATGCGCAAATACTGAAGACTAATTACCCAACTATTTACCAAGAAGCCTCAATGGAAGTCTAACCTCAAAATTCTCTTTTTTCTTCTTTTTTTAATCTTATGGCATTCCATAAATCTAGTTTTGCATATCCGTTTACCAATAATGACATATGTATCTCTTTTTGACTGTCTCCTTATCTGCCATAGCGACGAAGAAAACCTATCAACATTTCCACTGACATTTAAAGTGCTAAAGACAATTTTTCTCGGACTATCTTCTTTTCGGCTTTGGCGGCTACTACTACCAGTGTGACGATATTCGTTTGTTCTTGAATTGATGGCAAATAGTTTGTCGTCGTTTTTCTGCTTTTCATTTCGGAACACACACAAAGCGTGCAAGCTTATTAATCGACTCAGAATTTTCATTTTGTTTTATTGATCTTTTGTCGGCAGTGCCGTTTATCGGCTTGCTTTTAAAGATCTGTTGGAAGTGAATACTTTTTTTTTGCAATTTGTTTTCTGCTGGTTTTCCTCTGGCCGGACGGTCTTCGTCCATTACAACATGAACACGCAACGGGAGGCCTTAAAGCAAAAAAAAAAAGGAAAGGAAAGAGTTTTGGGTACCCATCTTCTCCCCAGTAGTCATCTAAGGCAAAATTTTATATTCATCTCTGAATGGTGTGACGCAAAAAAAAGAAGAAACTCTTTTTCGCCACACCATCATCCGTTTGATCTCATCCCATCCCCACCTTCCTTCCGTTCATAACTAAATAAATTCAATGAAGACCATCATCAGACACGGCTGGATAGGTTCTTCTTTTTTTGCATATTGGACTTGGACTTGCAGTTTCAGTTTTACACATGATCACACGGTGGCGGCGTCTTAGGCTTCGGCAGGCCTCAAAGAGCCAAAGCAATTGGCTTATCCCAAGACTGATTGAATAAAAAGCAACAACAACAACAAGAACACCATCATCATCAACGCTAAAGACGACGACAACAACGGCGACATGAATGGAAGCAGCCGCCATCTAAAGCTGCTAGATAGATATTAATTCTGCCATTTTATCACCGATTTGTACGGGTAAAACATACATCACTTGCGAGCGTGTTTCATGCGGCATATATCAGCATTTATGGCATGAAGATATGAAGAGTGAGGCCAGCAAACAGGATTATAGTTAAGAAAAGCTATTGAAGAGATTAAATTATTCAAAATAGAGAGATAAATGCTTACTTTATGTACGCCTTGTAAGTACAGGGGTAAGCAGGGGTCTCAAGAAGACGCAACGAACTTAAAAAGTTGGAAAATGATTCTACCATTCATAGAAATAACATTTATGAAAAGTTTTTTTAAGATTCATAAAATATTTCAGGAGATAACTAAGGGATAAGTCCTGAAAAGTGATTACCTAACCAATTACAAATGTGCCTAAAAGAAAGCCATATTTTAAAATAGATGAGATTCTAATTATTTATATATAATTCCAATTTTGTTTGGAGGAAACTCTGTTGTACAATAAAAGGAAGATCTTCTCTTGCAAGAAACTTTCAAAATCCAGGTGCCTTTTTTTTGTGGAAATTTTGCTTACTCCTAGATTACTGGTGGCCATATCAGTAAGCAAGGGGTTTCAGTAATTCAGCAATAAACTCGGCAGAGTTTTCAAAGCTTTGCCGCAATTAAAACACTTCATTTTCTCTTGGAAAAAATATCCCATTAGTAAATGCAGCCATTGTGGGGAAATAACCATTACTTTAGGGTTACTAAGTAAGCAAAAAGTCTCGAAATGCTGTCACATAAAATTAATATGGTGCATCGTAATCTATTGTTTCTTAAAAGTATTAAGATACATAGTATTTTTTATGATTAGTATTTTTTATGATTTTCTTTTACAAAAAGATTTCCCGCAATTCCATTTAAGAGAAACAATCATTATTTAAAGGCTACGATGTAAGCAAAAAATCTGAAAATGCCTTCACAAAAATTTTATGAAGAGAGGAAGATCTCTCGATTTTAAGAAGAGATATGATTAAGTTCATTTAAAGCCCTTATGATTTTCTGTTACAAAACAAATCTACATTACCCAAATGCTTCCATTTAAGAGAAACAGTCATTACTTTAGGGCTACCAAGTAAGCAAAAAATCTCAAAATGCCTTTACATTAATTGAATACGGTGGATCATGATCTATTGTTTCTAGAAAGTCCTACAATTCATAATATTTTTAAATACACAATAGTTTTCCCAATGAAAATTAAAGGGGAAGCCATGATAAGCGATTACTTCATTGTTTACTAAAGGACCTTAATTAATCAGAGAAATGAAGTTGTTATTTTATATTTTTACTAATTTTTATGAAAAAATACGTAAATATTGATTTATTTTTGATTTTCAAAATATATCAAGATCGAGTTAATATTATTTTTATTATAGAAAAATTATTATTAATTATTTTTTTCAATATTATTGAAAAGGGGACTATATTTGCATTTAATTTAATTTAAATATTTTAAGGAATAAAATATTTGAACCCAAGTCCACAAGAACACCTGTTTTCTTTTAAAAATAAAAGTTGTTGACAAAGTTTTGAAATAGTGTTATTGAATTTCTTTACGATCGAAAAGTAGGATTTGAATTCGTTGGCCAGCAATATTCTTTGGTTTTATGCTCCGCAGATTTTTACCTTCCGCTCCAATAAAATTCAATTCATTCTCTCGGTACGTTTCAGAATTATAAAACACTTGCAATTATCAGCTAAAATTCAAAATATTGTCACGAAGGATTGAGGGAGGAGGGCAAAGGAAGTGAAAAATATATTTGTGTGCATTATTACGAAGTACTATCTGTTCGGGGAATATATATTTGTCGGATGGATAAAATTTGTGAAATCTCGATAAGTTATTAGTTTTAATCGCGAAAAAGTGGTAAATCCAATAAAGGTTTGACAGATGGATAGGCAAAGATGGAATCTCAATAAGTTATTTTTTTCTGAAAGCGAGGAAAATATTTCCGAAGCGAAAAAAGTTTGAAGGAAGGACAAACAAATTTTGGACCCTCAAAAAATTATTATTTGTGAACGGGGAATATGAGAATTATATAATTCTTTGACACATATGTATACAATTTTGGAATCTCAATAAGTTATTATTTCTGAACGCGAAAGAAAAATATATTTCCGAAGTCAAGAAAAGTTTGAAGAAAAGACAAACAAATTTTGGATCCTAATAATAATTTATGAAAGTATTTGGAATTTTGCGAGAAGTTTATTTGTATTTTTTGAAATGTCAAAGGGGTCAGTTGAAGTAACTTCACAAAAATTTGGTCTAAGTGTTTATGGGATCTTCATAGGTTATTATATACTTCAATTTTAATTAACTGTATTTTGCCAATAAAAAATTTGGAATCTCAATAAGTTATTATTTTTGAACGCACAAAAATTGTGAATTCGTTGAAGGTTTGACAGATGAAAAGGAAAAATATGGAATCTCAAGAAGTTATTATTTCTGAGGACTAAAAAATATTCCTAAAAAAAAGACATTAGAACTTCGACACAAATTTTTGACAAATAATTGTCGTTTGTGAACGATACAGATTAGTATGGATTTTGAAAGTATGTGGGGATTTGATATTTATTTTATGATTTTCGAAAAAAGCCATTTACTATATTTTGCCGATAAAAAATTTGGAATCTCAATAAGTTATTATTTTTGAACGCACAAAAAATTGTGAATACGCTCAAGGTTTGACAGATGAATAGGAAAAAATTATGGAATCTCAATAAGTTATTATTTCTCAACGCAAAAAAAAATATTTAAAAAAAAAGTCATTAGAACTTCGACACAAATTTTAGACAAATAATTTTGGTTTGTGAACGAAACAGGTAAATATGGATTATGGAAGTATGTGGGGATTTGATATTTATTTTAGGATTTTCGAAAAGGCAAAATATTTGCCGATAAAAAAAAATTTGGAATCTCAATAAGTTATTATTTCTGAAGGCAACAAAATATTCCCAAAAAAAAGTCATAAGAACTTCGACACAAATTTTAGACAAATAATTGTCATTTATGAACGACACAGATTAATATGGATTATGGAAGTATGTGGGGATTTGATATATATTTCAGATTTGTCGAAAAAAGGCAGTTGAAGAAGTCTCAAAATTATGGAATCTCCGTAGGTTTTTGTTAGGGGCCAACACGAATTTCTTGCCATATTTTCCTTTTTTGTTGGAAACAGAACTGGGTTCAGAAGCATTAGTGGGATTCTCTAACTCATTTTTTGAGCTACCGACAATAATCGGAAACTTTGAAACTCAAGGCCAAGGCGAATTTCTTGTCGTATTTTTTTTTTTTTTTTTTTTTTTTTGGAGACTGAACTGGGTTCAGAATCATTAGTGGGATTCTCTAACTCATTTTCAAAAAAAAATCGGTAACTTTGAAATCCAGCATTTTGATATAAAAAATAAGTTAAAGTGGACAACCTTGGTATCTATCGGTAGGTCTTATCGACAACCTTCATTTCATCACTAACTTACCGACAAATTTGGTTATTTACCGAAATTATAAACTTAAAATTTTAACGACTTTTGTCGATCTCTCAAGAAAATAGTTAGAGCATTCCACTACAGTTCTGGTAATATTTCAATAGAGATTGGTAAAAAAAACTATATCCTTATGTTTGGGTAGGTCGAAGGACCATTTCCGTAAGGCATAAGGGTATTCGGTGATTATAGTCACATTGATTTTGAATTTTAGCTGATAATTTTGCCTTCCATTTTTTTATCTTTTCATAGATCTTTTTTTAATGTATTTTTTTTTTTTGGGTTTCCATAGGTCCCATACATATGGTATATTATTGAGTTAGAGTTAAAATTGTTGTTTGGTAAACAAAGAAAACGTACAGTACTTACAAATCCATGTTTATCACTAATGTTATTGGTCAGCTTAAGCTTGTGAAATGAGACAACTTTTTGCATCCATTGTTCACCGGTTGTGGGCGAATCTGGATGGATGTACATGCGTTTGGGCATTTCCGGATCGGCTTTGCCGGCAATCATCCAGCGGCTGGAAAGGGAAAAGAAGAAGGGTTGGCAAACTCTCTTAAGTCCCACTTTCTCTCTCTCTCTCTCTCTTAAGTCCCTCCAACTTACCTATTGTGAAATTTATAACGATAATCATCGGCAGCCACAATATCCAGTAGTAGAATATATTTCGCCTTGGCATCCAAGCCTGATACACGAAATTTCATTTGCGGGAACATTTGTCTGAAAGAGAAATCCAAGAGAAAAATTAAAAATTATTAATTTTTTGTGAAAAAAAAAATAATTGCAAAATTACAACATTAAATGAACAATTTTTAAGAATTATTTGCTAAATCCAACTACAACAACAAAAACATTCCATGTTTGGGTGGCTTAAGCATTATCATTATCGAGTTTATCATAAGCCAGCCAAAAACAGGCGTAGAGGTTCGTGCGGTTGGTCAGTCAGTTGCCTGCCTGCCTGGCTTGGTTTATGGGCCGATCTCCGTAATGTGGCGCCAGCAAAAGTGCACGAAAATTTAAATTTCAAAGTTATGTCTAAATGGCTATGCAGGAATCTGTCTGTGTGAGAGCCTGATGCCTAGCAGTAGCTTTTAACCACCATCAGGTCGGTTGGTCAGTCAGCCAGCCAGCAGAGTAAATTGATATTTGTTTTTGGCGAAAAGGAAAGGACTTGCTTGCAACATGGTTGCATCCACACCAGCGCTACATGAACCAGAGAACTGTAATAACTACCACCGGCGTTGAAAAAATGCTGCTCAGTTCGCTTGGGTTTCCACTGCGAGTCGTCCGTTGAAGCCACCCATTATTAGCGGCCTAATGCTGTGGCTTCATTTGTCCAATTTGGTGAAATTGTTGTGGCAGCAACCACAGTTAGTTAAGTAAAAACAAACATTTTTATTTGGTCGCAAACGAACGTGTTGAGAGGCTTGAACGAACGAACAACAACAGAAACGCCAGCGGCGCCCAACAATGACCAATGCCAGCCAACCGGCCAGCCAAACAACAGCAGCTAACCAGGCTAATATAGCGTCGGCCATACAACAAACCACCGGCAAATGCTAAGCTCACGGAGAACACTCATCAGCCAGCAATGCCATGGAAGGCAACCGGGCACCGGGTTCCTACTGCTTCCTTCTACCCTCATCAATATTCTCATTTATTTCGTTTATTATTTGCTGCTCGTCGTCCTCGTCCTCAAAACTACCTCACAAATATGAAAATTATAACTTTGAGCAGCAATCACTCAATCTCTGGGCTCTGCTGCAGCCCTTTTTCAGGGGCAGAAGACGCAAAGCAGGACTAAAGGAGAGTAAAACGACGCCAGCAACTGACTTCCTTGGCTTAGACTCATGAATCAAATTTAACGAATGTCTCGTCGTCCATAAGTAACGATCATCATTGCCATCATCATCACCATATTATTAACAGCCGCCACGGAGCAGCAAACACCCAGCCAAGCAGCCAGCCGGACAGACAATTCACGGCGACAGACGTCAGCGAAAAACCAACAAACAAGCCCCCTAAACTACATGGGATTGTCCATGGATTGTTGTGTGGCGATCAAAAGGGTCTCTGGCCCATGAAATCCCCAAGAAAATAACTGAGCTCATGATTCTATCTGAGCCAGAGCCAAAGCCAGGGACCAGCTAACCAGCCACCATAAATGTTCCAAGGGTTTCATGGGTAAGCCTTGTTCACCTTGCTTCCTTCCGCACTCAAGTCGGAGTTTTATGCGCCAAGCAAAACATGCTTTTGGTTTGGCAATTAACAAGGCTCAGTCAGGCTAAGGGAAAGCTCAACGCATCATACTCAGCACCCCCTACCCCCCCCTCTCTCTCTCACACTCTCTGCTTCTTTGGGAAGACACCTTAGCCAGTTAGTTGCTGGTTAGTCAGTCTGCTGCATTGCCTTTGGCTTGTTTTCAATAACTCGTTAACCATTATTGAAAACTTGGCGCCAGTTGGCAGAACTCACACCAGCAATGGACAATCGGCCAGTCGTCATCACCATCACGGGCAGCAGCAACAGCAGCTATAGACGCAGCGCCGGCCGATGTTGTCGCCTTCCACTTTGGCTACATTTTGGCAAAACACACACACAAGACCTACAAATCGGGGCCACCACACACGACACGTTGGCAAAAAAGCTCCGCATGTTCTGTTCTCCTTGCCACATCCAGGCATCAATCTAAGATCTGCCGTTTCTGCCAATATGCCCTTGATGCACAACACACACACACACAGTCGCACTGCCAGTTAGCAATTGATAACATTGCTACATGGCTAATTTTTAGTGGTAAGCATTGTTTTGGGGATCCTTGTCCTCTTTGCTCGGCTGGCTGGCTGGTTGGCTTGCGAAGTTGGCGCTGGCGCTGACGCTTTATACGTTATTTTCCGTTTGTTTGGTTTTCTTTCATTTTATGAGATATTCTCAGGTTGATTCTTGAGCGATTACTGCTATTCCCCCGAGAGGATAAGCATGGGCAGGCATGGAGGATCAAACAGTTGTTTAACGAACTGTGTGACGTTCTGAAGGGGTTATGATAAGAATTTGAGAGAGAGACAGAACAAAAGGTAAAGGCGAAGAACCATTTAAATTATTTAAGAAGTCCACTTCGGCAGCAAAGGACCATATATTCGGGAAGAGGATGGAAAATTTGGGGAGATGATAGTAAGTAGCGGTAAGTTCCGATATTAGAGATTATTAAATTTAAAAATAAATTAAACATATAATTTCTTCAGAATACAGGATACTCCTACCTCCCTTTTTTCCAGGCATGACAGCATAACCACCTAATCAGGACTACCGGACCTTTTGCAGAAAGTATTTGACTAGAACGGAGCCTGAACACCAAAGTATTACTGGCTGTGGTTAACATCTTCATATGAAGCATAGAACAGGGCAAATAGAAAAAGTCGAAGGACCATTTAAGAAGTCCCCGTACGAGTCAAATACTATGGAATCTCCAATAAGTTATTAATGGATGAATTGAAAAACAAATTTGGAATCTCAATAAGTTATTAATTGTAACAAGTAAAAAAGCTGTAAGTTCGGCCGGGTCGAACTTAAAATACCCTCCATCATTTGGAACGTTTTTGGGCCATTTTCCAAAAAAAAAAAATAAAATCGGTTAAAAATTCTGTTAAAATCTCAATGTAGCCGTCATATTAGGGTCTATACGACGACGTGGACCTGCATAGGCAACTTCTGTCATAAACCATTACAATATTCAAATACGAAACTTAAATAAAAAAAAATCGGCGAATAATGAGGCTAAAACCATAAAAATACCGAATATCGGGAGGTACCGTTATATACGAAGACCTGGACCTGCGCAGACAATTTTCTGTCACAGGCTGTAGTAGCCTAACCGAACTTCAAATACCAAATTTGAAACATTTCCGGTAAATAATGTTGCTAAAACCATCAAAATACCGAATATCGGGAGGTACCGTTATATGGGGGCTCTACGAAGACGTGGACCTGCACGGACAATTTTCCGTCTTAGGCTGTAGTACCCTTTACGAAGTTCAAATACCAAATTTGAAACATTTCCGGTGAATAATGTCGCTTAAACCATCAGAATACCGAATATCGGTAGGTACCATTGTATGGGGGCTCTACGAAGACCTGGTCCTGCACAGACAATTTTCTGCCATAGGCTGTAGTACCCATTACAAACTTCAAATACCAAAAATTCCCGTGAATAATTTCGCTAAAACCTTCAAAATACCGAATATCGGTGGGTACCGTTATATGGGGGCTCTACGAAGACGTGGACCTGCACGGACAATTTTCTGTCTTAGGCTGTAGTACCCATTACGAAATTCAAATACGAAATTTGAAACAATTCCGGTGAATAATGTCGCTAAAACCATCAAAGTACCGAATATCGGGAGGTAACGTTATATGGAGGACTATACGAAGACGTGGACCTGCACAGAAAATTTTCTGTCATAGGCTATAGTAATCACTACGAACTTTAAATACCAAATTTGAAAGAATTCCGTTGAAAAATGTCTCTAAAATCATAAAATCACGGAATACCGGGAGGTACCACTATAGGGGGGCTATACCAAAAAGTAAACGTACATGACCAATTTTCAATACCAAAAGTCCTGCAGACATAATACACATTTAAGTAAAATTTTATCAAACTACTTCATTTCGTTCGGAAGCTAGAGTGAATTCTATAGACGAACAGATATCGCTAAACCCCCCTTGTGGGGTCTAAAATGTATATTTCGAGGTGTTACAAATGGAATGACAATCTTAATATACCCCCAATACTATGGTGGAGGGTATAAAAATTGAAACCAAGTCATAACATACGATTATAGCCGTCATATGATGCTACATGGGGCATCACTGTTCGAGGAGAATCAATTATGGAGGTCGAAGGACCATTTAATGAGGATTTGAATTATGGATTTGAAAAAATTCTGGAATCTCAATAAGTTATTAAATCAGAAAAAAAATAATATTTTGTGGAATACCAGATCACTTTTAGAATCAGAATCAAGGCTCGAAGGACCAAAATCAGCTCACAAAAAAATTTCACCCAAAGACGTGACGCAAACTTTTGCCAAGCACTTTAATTGCCTCTCTCCTCTCTTTGACATAATATCGAAAAACCCACATACTTAGTTGCCTGCATCGGTTTTCGGATGCCCTACTCCTTTGCCCACGAACTTGTTTGGTTTATTACCACTGTTGGCTGGCTGGCAGGCAGGCTCGTTGACTGTCTTACTGTTTGTTTGTTTAGTTGTTGGGTTCTTTTTTTTTTGTTTGGCCGTTTAAGTCGGGTTTGGGGCGTCTCTGTGCGCCAGCGCACACATGTCTTATTTCAACGAGATACACGTATTTAGGAATGATGATGGCTTGTTACCATCGTGTTGATAAGCTTGTTTGGATATTTTGCACACAATTTTCATTGTTGTTGTTCAGTTTTTTTTTCGGTTTTTTGAGCTGCGTACGCGTTCTTCAAAACGGTTTGAGAATTTCTTGTGGACTCTTGTCCAAAAGATATTTTGTGTTGCTTGATTTTGTTATTTTTTTTTTTCTTGGCTTCGACGTTACTTTCTTATGGCCCGGCATCGAACATTTTGCAAAAAGTTTTGGGCCAAATATGACATCATGGGTCAATTGTTGGTATGTTTTAGACAAGCGTTTCAAAATGTTTTCCCAATTTTTTGAAAACGAAAAAAAAAACAAAAAAG